ACACTTCCAGGGGCAGTGGCAGTGCAAGGCATTCAGCAGCAACAGCAGCAGGTTCCATCACAAGCTGAAGCATACTCTGCTGGGTCCGAACAGGACACGATAAAGTCTAGGAGCGAGAGCTCTGAATCCCGTCAGAGATAGCTCCAACAGCTATGCTGGCCTACGGCTCCAGCACCCACAGCTGGCTTATCTCCAGCCAAAGCAGCAAGAAAGGATCGTCCTTTCTACCATAGTTAAGAAAATAGTACGAAAGATTGAGACCGATCCTGATTAGCTTGTAGCCCCTTTGATACCGCAGCAGTTGATACCTATCCTGTTGAGGCCGGGCAGAAGCAGTAGGAGGTAGCAGATAGTACTGTTCCCAGACTGCCACTGCACGATTGAATAACGAAGGCCCCCAGCTCCTGAGGTGAGCTGGCCCAAAGGGCCCAGCAGAGAGCTCTGCTGGCCCTCCTGTCTGACTGACAGGGCCAAGTCCTTGGTTTGGTGCCTACTGGAGGTGTTGGATACTCCTGAGGCACGACAAGGCTCCCTGAACTGCCTGACTACCGCTGGAAGGGTTTCAGCGAGGCCCAGTCCACTACTTGAGTATTGGAACTGAACCTTCAAGAAACTTATTGGATTAACAGTCGCATAGATCTGCAGGCAGTTCTTAAGGGAAGAAGAGACCTCCTTGACGAGAAAATGATCTCTTCGAATTACTACAGCTACAGAGGTTCTTTACAGTTGGTTTCATTGGATTTCACTGGCATTTGGTGTTGATTTCAGGCCCATTTTGAACTCCTAAGTCAACAACCTTCTGTTCAACTTTGGCAGTTCCAGCCATCACCACAGTGACAGGAACCTTTGACTTGGCCATCTACCCATCCTACAAGGCCAACACCATCATCATTGCCATTGGAAAGGACCTAGATTCCCACCATCTTGACACAACAACCTCATTGACTCGACGCCATTGACTGTTGACACGAAAAGCAACACAACCAATTCACACGAAGAAGAAGTTCGCAAAATCAGTCAGAAGCTACAACCGGCACGTACTGTGGAGCTCCAAGAGAACTCGAGACTTAACGTTTTCGCTCCTATCTTGGCAATCAAGCAAGTCATTTACGTCTCGAGGAATTTGGTTGTTTATCAGGAGAAACACCGCGATATCCCTTTGAGATCCGTGCTTATTGCTTGCAACCTATTCAGCGAATTACGTGATTTATTCGAAGTCCCCGTGGCTTATCTCTTTCGATTCGCCTGTGCAGTTTTCGAGTGTCACGAGTTTCCGTCCTGTACAGGTTCGACGATTTCACGGAAGCCGATCAGCCAATCAGATCGTCCGTGCATTTTGAGCGATTTACGGGAACGTACTGGAAGCTCTTCGCTAAATCCAGTCAGCCAATCAAAACGTCCGTGCAGTTTCCAGTACTTATACACCGTGCACTGAGTCAGTACTCAACGTCGCGCGGAACGTACAGGAAGTTCTTCTTTGATCTTGCATTTGTGTACCGCTCGAAGACTTATACGACAACGTTCCCCGTACCGGTTCTTGTCCTGAAAGCAAGCCCATCGTGTGTAAATCCCTCGTCTCATATTTTAAGGTGTTTACGTGGTCGAGTCATTGAAAATTGAGATCTTCCGTGCGAGGAGCGATCAACCAACACGAAAGAGCAACTTGAATAGCCACGAGACAACGAAGAGGTCAATTCGCTTGGCTGAAACTGGTACCAGTGGATCCGCCATCCTCTGTTTAGTCCGTGCATATCTCACTTTGAATTTTGGAAGCTTTTGTGGGGAGATTCATTGAGCCAAGTTGACTGGCTCCACAGTGGCAAAATCACCAAAACCAAGGCAGTTTCCAGCACCAAGGCGATACAAGAAGCTTGTTCCAAAGCTTGTACACAGGCTACCTTATTCAATTACCACCAAATTGAATTTCCTAGACCCCTAGCAAGGTCCCAAGAAGTATCCTTTGTGGTTTCCAAAGTACAGTTGAGTCAGCCTTATTCCACCGCTACAAGAGCTGAAAACCAGTGCTTCCACCGGTACAGCAGGTACACCTCTTCTTTGTCAGTAACAAGAGGCACCATGTCTTTCTACGGTTTCTACAGCGATGTGAGTGACCCTTATGCCCCTGGCTACTCCGAACGTTGGTGGCACCGCGTCTACTCTGGGCCCCAAGTCCAAGGTAGCTACACCTGTGCCCGTCCTCCCACACACCACGATGGAGCTGGCAACAGCAACCTAGCCTACCGCCACCGGCATCAGGACACACAACCACCAGATGAATACAAATCCGTCTTTGACATTCTTGAGAAGACACCGGCACCACCTGTGTCAACAGTGTTCCCACCAGATGAATACAAATCACCCTTCGACATCCTTGAGAAGAGGTCGACACCAATGACCTATGGTAGGACCAACCACCAGCTGGGTGATGGGGAGATTTCAGAGCTGTCTGGAGACAGCTCCAGTTGTCACCCAGATCTCATTTATACCCCAGCCATGGAAGACATGCTGATCCACTTTCAACAGCAACAGGCCACCGTTGCTCGACAACTCGACCCCATGAGAGCTGATCACGAATCATCCAAGCAAGACATAGGAGCTGACCACGAAACCTTCAAACGAAAGATGGAAGCTCAGTTCATCGCCCTGAAGGACCAACTGACAGCTCAACTGGACGCCCTGGTCGTGGTAGCTGCTAGGCCACCTGTCACAGCACCTACACCTGCTTTGACACCATCAGTTCATGGGGAGACCAATGCCATTCCACTGTCAGCCATGGGCAGTGCTGATGGCGTCCACAAGCCGACTGGTAACAGCGCTATTGGTACCCAACGGCTCCACAGCCCAAAGAAGCAGCAGCGCCACAGGGCTACTCGTTCCAAGCAAGATGCCACTCGATTGACTGATGCCCTCTTGGCCACCAACCAGCTGCCCACCAACGTAGCCACGGTTCCATCTCCCAAGCTAGCTTGTGGGGAGTTGCCTGTCACACGACCCCTGCGTGTCCCAGCTACGAGCCACCAGCTGCCCAGTGCCACACCCTTGCATGCCCTCGCTGGTGCCCATCCATCGTTGGATGATGGGGAGATTATCGAGCTTGCCAGCCCTAGTAGTCATCCAACCTCTGGGGAGATCATGATGGTAAAACCTCCAGCCAACAGGCAACCAGCTCCCATTGCTGGCAACAACAACATTGCAGCTGCAGCTGCACAACCAAATAGACCAAGTGTGGCTCCCACTCAGTCAGCTCTACAACCAAGAGCACAAGAACAGACCCACACAGTGGTGAACCCCAAGCAACCTGCTCCAAGGCACAGAGCACACAAGGGTCCCACCACAACCAACATTGGCAGGAGACCTAGTGGTCCATCACCCACAATGACACCCAAGGTTCCCAGCCTGGTTCCCACAGAACCACCAACCTATGGCACAGCAAGTGCCACAAGACTTGTGCCCAATGAGGTGACATTGTCTTCGGATACTAGGCCCAGTCTAGGTCCAACCATCACCAGTCCATTTGCCAGGAGGACCACCAAGCAGATACCCTCTGCTTTTGGTGAAATCCATGGAGAGCAACCACAGCAAGTATCTGCAACCAAGGCAGCTTTGGTGTCTCCTACACAGAAGCTGGCTGCCGTAGTATCTCCTTCCCGGGAGCTGACTGCCGCGGTGCTTCCTACCCCGAAGCTGGCCATGGCCACAGTACATGGCAATGGACCAATACCGGTGACGCCGTTGGATTTTCCTTAGGGCGATTGATTCATGTTCCTGATCGATCGAGCCCAAGACCCACAGCCAAGGAACATGATTGCGGGGCAAGAAGGCCGCTCCACTGAGAGCTTGCCACCGCTGAATTCGGCCTGTGGCAAAGCCACGAATATTTGTCTACATATGAAGAAAACAAACAACAGCTATGATAGCAACCAGCACCGCCGACACCTACGAGTCTGGCCATGCTGATGAAGCACGCAATCCATTTGCGCCTACCTTTGGTCCAGCAACCGACCAACCATGCAAGTCCCTCCACTTGTGAGATCTCCAATCTCACATTGTGTTCCACTAGCAGTCGATGCTGAGTGGCCCATGGATTTCCATTCATGGGGAGAGTTTGTATAGTTAGTTAGTAACTAGTCGTATATCGTGGCATTCCCATGAGAGCGGATCCATACGCACTCGTGGGGAGCGATAAAGTCTAGGAGCGAGAGCTCTGGATCCCGTCAGAGATAGCTCCAACAGCTATGCTGGCCTACGGCTCCAGCACCCACAGCTGGCTTATCTCCAGCCAAAGCAGCAAGAAAGGATCGTCCTTTCTACCATAGTTAAGAAAATAGTACGAAAGATTGAGACCGATCCTGATTAGCTTGTAGCCACATTGATACCGCAGCAGTTGATACCTATCCTGTTGAGGCCGGGCAGAAGCAGTAGGAGGTAGCAGATAGTACTGTTCCCAGACTGCCACTGCACGATTGAATAACGAAGGCCCCCAGCTCCTGAGGTGAGCTGGCCCAAAGGGCCCAGCAGAGAGCTCTGCTGGCCCTCCTATCTGACTGACAGGGCCAAGTCCTTGGTTTGGTGCCTACTGGAGGTGTTGGATACTCCTGAGGCACGACAAGGCTCCCTGAACTGCCTGACTACCGCTGTCCCTGAGGAAGGGTTTCAGCGAGGCCCAGTCCACTACTTGAGTATTGGAACTGAACTTTCAAGAAACTTATTGGGACAATTCAATTCACGACAACAGCAACAATCATGCAGTAGGATTGGTGGAAGCAGAGGCAGTGAATGATGTGGAGCATCCACAGGCTGTGGCTCAACTTTCAATGGATGGCACCCACAGAAGGGAAACCATTACTCGGAAATATCAGTTGCGCTTTGCAGGTTTTGTGCTCTTGCTTTTGCTCGGTTACGGCATCATTATTGGTTCTGTTTGCGGGGCTGGCTTCTGTGGTAGCAGTGACTCCGTCGAGCCCTCAAAAACTCAAAGAGACATTCTACAGGCACCCAAAATGGAAATTGTCCTGACTACCATCCTGGGAAAGGACTACTTTGATGGTGTGGAAGAATCCAGACAAGGCCATGACAGCGACCTAACTGAATTCCTGATGGAAACAAGGCAGAAATCTTTCAACTGGATTATCAATCAGGATCCACTGCAATTGGAATATGATGCTCCAAATTTATTTCAGAGATTCCTTGTGGTGCTTTTCTACTATCAAACCACAAGGCACAAATCATGGAAAGAGTGCAATCCACCAGCAACTTCTCAGGTGAGTGCATCATCCAATTTCTGTTATGCACTGGACGCTGCAACAGGGGAAACAACCAACAACATCTGGGGGGATCGGTGGCTCTCTGTCAGTCATGAATGCCAATGGGCTGGGGTTACTTGTGAGACTGGACAAAGAGAAGAGCAAGAGGCTGTGGAACTGGATCTTCGTAAGTTTCATAATCCAAAGATGTGGATTGTGTCATTGATTTCTTACGCATAGGAATGCATTCTTCAGGGTGGAATCAGCTCAATGGCCTTCTCCCATGGGAGATTACAAGATTGCCACAGCTAAAAAATCTTGATTTACATCACAATATGCTGACTGGAGTGATGCCCCAAAGGCTCTTTACCAACCAATCAGGCCTTGCCTTGGAGATTCTCTTCTTGGGCAATAACCAACTCTCAGGACCCATCCCTGCAAGATGGTTTGAAGAAGCTGCAAAACTTACCAATGTTGAAACCTTTTCAAACAGACTGACTGGAAGAATTCCATCAGAAGTGGGGCTACTCCCTATGAAGAATCTGAATTTTGGCAACAATTCACTGACAGGATCTCTGCCAGTGGAAGTGTTCTATCAGGGCTCTCTTGAGTGGCTAATTTTGAGTGACAATGATGTAAGTAACTTAATATTTGGTCTGGCATTAACATCCATGCTTGCTTGAAGCTTATGGCCTCCTATTTGCTTCTTGCCATCACAAGCTTACTGGTACTCTGCCAAGTAAAGTTGGGTTGTTGGCCAACCTGGAATATCTTGACTTGAGCGGCAACAGTGTATCAGGATCCCTGCCTTCAGAGATTGGTCTGGCAAACCAAATGCAATATTTGAAGGTTTCCTACACCAACATGCAAGGGACACTCCCTGAAGAATTGTATGGACTGAGCAAATTTAAGACGTTGGAGTTGGACAGTTGCAACTTCTCTGGGACCATCAGTTCATCCCTTGGTCTTCTGACAGACCTTGTGCAACTGGGCCTATCCATTAACAACTTCCATGGTACAATTCCCAATGAAATTGGCGCGCTGACAAAGCTGCTTCTATTGCGGGTGAATGGGAATGCGCTGACAGGCACAGTTCCAGATTCTGTCTGCCAAAATCTTGCATATCTTGAGCATAACAGTCATTATGAAGCTGCATTGGGGGCTGACTGTTTGCCCAGCACAGAAACTGGAGTCCCCACAATTGAGTGTGCTGTTGATTGCTGTACCATGTGCTGTGACAATACGCTGTATTGCCTTGCCAATTGATTTGCTCCCGTCTGTTCCTTGTTGCGGAGACCCTTTGGGAATTGAACGCTATATCCACTGGGGAATTGAGGCCAAAGCTAGCCAGCTAGCTAGCTAGCCGGATACTACTGAGCAAAAACAGGAAGTCTCATCCAATCCTTCCCGCACAATAAATGACAGTATATGATGGGGAAGTCACTATGGATTAGAGAGAGCTAAGATGAGGATGGGGACAGAGCTCGAGGGGAGGGCACGATGCAGGAACGCAAGGCAAGGCAAGCAATTAAGTGCGCAAGCAGGGCAACATGGTAACCAAGGAAAGGGGGGAAGGCAGGAGGGCAGGGGGGAGCGAAGGAGCAAGACTAGCAGAAGAGATCGAGGGCACCACGGTCATCCCAACACTTGGAAACCTGGAGAGCTGGGACACGGGAGCCTCTGAGACACATGGTATGCAATAGGCTTAATCAACAAAAACTATTTCACAAGTGGATTGGATAACGGTACCATAGATTGGCGGTGCGAAATCAGTCCGTGTCATTGAAGAACAGCCGTTGTTCAAAGCCAAACATGACCGTTCCCAGGACATGAACCATCCAGGCTTTCCACAAAAAGGGCGGCTTTTCTCCTTTCTGGACGCATTGCACGGCCGTGGCAGCATTCCTCCCTGACAGTGCTGCCCCCGTTACATAGCCGTAGTCGGCACCATTTGGAGGAAGATGCTCCCCTGCAAAGAATATTTTTTTGTCGACTGGTTGAAGAATGGTCCACATGGGCTTCATTCCTTTGCGGTAGGAAGAGAAGGCTCCCCGAATGAAGGGCTCGCTGCAAGTCCAGTTTTGTACAAATCCTTTGATGTAGGTGCGGCTTGCCTTTCCTTTGTACGCCCCGTCCAGTTCTTCCACGAGTCTCTGTATGATTGCATCATCGCCGAGGTGTGTATACTTCAGCGCTACATCTCCATACACGTAAACTGCTAGAATATTGCGTTTGTTGGGATTTCGTTGAAAAGCCATCTCATTGTAGAACACTCTTTCTCCGTGCTTTTTGGTTTGAATGCCGAAATTGTTGTGATAGAACTGAGACGAAAATTCGAGGAAGACTTTCAATCCGGGGCCAAAGGGAACGTTGTCGATTGCCTTCTTTTTGGCGGGTGGAAGTTGTGGAACAAATGTAATGTCATCATCTTGCAGAATGGGCAAGCTCACCGCCACAATCACCTGCGATCCAAAAAAGACACGACCGTTTCGACATTTCACTGTGATTCGAGCTGTAGAATAATCAATACTCTGAACGACGCAACCATATTGAATATCCAGCGACTTGGCAATGAAATTTTGAAAGAAATCATGCCACGTATATCCTTTCGTAAATTTGTATACGATTTCGTTTTCTTCATGACGGGGGTACTTCAACACCCACTTCTTCCCGCCACGGAATTCGTAAAAGGGAGCGAACTTGTAAGGCTTCACCTCAAAGTGATCATTGCGAGCAAAGGAGGGATCGTCCACGATTTTGCTGAGAATACGAGGATGGAAATGAATCCATTCCCCGCCGGCGTCAATGGGAAAATCGGCAAAACCTTCCAGCTTGCGCACACGTCCTCCAAACTCGGTTGGATGGGCTTCCAACACTTGGACGGGAATGTTCTTTCGGTGCAAATCGTACGCTGCCGTCAGGCCAGCCGCTCCTGAGAGATATTCGAAGAGAAAGCGAGAGAGCAAGGGCGATATAAGAATGGATGTATTTGATGTGCTGCTCGCTACCGGTATCGTACTCGGTACGGTACCTGATATTACTTACCAGCACCAATCACAATAACACCATCGTGGGCGTTGGGAGAAGTCTTCTTCTCGCTTTCCATGCCCGATTGCTGAAGTAACACAAGGGGAGCTTCCTGCTGTTGTTGATCAAGTTGTGGTAACCGTTTGGCCTTGCCAGTTGCTGAAGTGAACCGAAGCTCTTTTGTCATTCGTGGATAATCAAGAACCCCCTCAAAGATCTCGTTATGTCGTCGTAAGCCTTGCTGCGCTCATTGGTCATTCCGCTTGTCTCATGCATTCCCCTCGGACTGTGATTGTTCCTCCGTCGGGTACATGTACTCATTCTGTTTCGTGGAGAAATACCTGAAGGACGAGGATGCTCCGGGTGCCGCTGAACGGTGATTCATACGTGGATACTCAGCCCCATTACCATTGCCAGCACGACCGGTATCCCCTCGCTTGCCGAGGCGAAGACTTGCTTGCCCTCGCTACGATAGCGGCACACCCAGCTAGCTAGTTGTAAGCTGTAACAATTGGAGAAACAGCAACAACTGGCTTTTCTGGTTGATGCTAGCTACATACCATTTCTCATGATTTCATTGATGCAACTTCTGTTGGCCTCACGAAACCTAAAACCCAAATGGAATCCTAATCCAGCTCAAGCTGGGTACGTCGCAAGCCCTTTCTCCTGCCGGTATTTAGTAGACTAGTAGTAGTCTAGTACAGGTACGCAAATATATTCCGGAAGGAGATGTGACGTAACAACAATGATCTACATTCCAAGACCAGCAGAAAGATTCACTTGTGTTCTCTATTTTCAATGTTTATCCATGTCAAACTGTACCCTACAATCTGCTTCGAGTTCAGATCTTATTCTGTGGCGGCGCGGCTCGGCGGCAGCGGCCGTAATCTGCTTTTGCAAGCTTAGTCAGTAAGGAACAAGGAACAGAGCCAGTAATGTGGACAACCAAGCAAAGGCATTTCCCTACTCTAAACCCCCCCCATTCTTTCAGCAAAGGCAGAGTGTGGTGGAGTCCTTGTTTCTTGTGTCTGTTTGAAGCCCACCACGGACCATGGATCGGCCAAGGAACCTTTGAGTTCGTTCTTGCATTGGCAGCGTTAAAATGACATCATATTCGAAGCATCAAGGTGTACTGTACCCATTTTGAATTCATGCCACGTCCTTTTGCTTTTGGTACCATTCCCACATCGGGAGTTAATGTCGTGATGCAATTGCAGGAGCGAATAAAATAAAACAAGAAGTGCTGAGTGTACAGACACCTCCCAACACGTTGTGGGCAGCCCAAAACTGGTGCAAAATGCAAATTCAATCATTCTTCCACAGACAGGTGGAGGACATCAGCGGGAGAATGTGGTCAGCCACTGAATCTTTGGCTTCCCATCATCAGCACTGCTTTGCGATGTCGGTCCCACTGGATCCACTCAGCTGCATCATCATCAGCAAATCCGTACAAGCGAAAAAGCAATCCCTGCAACTTCAATTTCAGCGGCTGCATTCTATAGCCCACTTTTCCACTCCACTCGTTCCGAAAACAGCATCCACAAGTTTTGTCCCTGTTTTTGGATTAGTTAACCAAGATGATGTCCCTGCAATCTTTCTTCCTTCTTTCTCTTTTGGCTTCTCCAGTTGCCTCTTTTGGTGGCTTTGATCCTGCTCTGATTCATCACTCCGTATCCACCGCTACCTCGGCAGCTGAATCTCTGATCCACCACCATTCTCATGTCGTCGCATCCTCATCAGCAGCAGCATCGTCTCCACTGGATGCCGCTCAATCTCTGTTGAATGGCTACAAGAACCAGCTGGCAGCACATCCATTGCAAACCAAAATGATGACGGGTGCTACCCTGGCCATGTGCGGGGATGCCATTGCGCAATCCAAGGAAGAAGGACCCTACGATACAACACGAGCTGCCTCGTTTGGAACCTTTGACATGGCCTACCGAGCCCTCCAGCATGCTAGCTTTCCTTGGATTGTAGAGCACTGCAAGGGCCAATTCTTGACGGCGGCATTGGCAGGAATCTTGGCGTCGACACACATTTCCATTACCCCGGACATTACACAAAACTTTGCCGCCATGGAACAAACATTGGCATCGCAATTGGGCATTGTTCCCTTTTTGTACTATCCCGTCTTTTTTGGTCTGACTGGATTCATGCAAGGCTTGACCGTCTCGGGTAGTGTGGAACGCGCCCAAGAAAAGTTTTTGCCACTCATGCAACGAAATCTCTTGTTCTGGATCCCTGTTCAATTCGTACAGTTTGGATTCGTCGAGGAGAGTCTGCAAATCCCATTCTTGTCCGTCTGCGGGCTGGGATGGACATTTATCCTATCCATCATGGCGGGTTCTACCAAAAACTACCAAGATCAACCAGAGGACAAGGTCAACGTGGTGGTGCTGCCCATGGAGGACGAACAAGTCATCTTTCAACCTAGTCATTTGGATGCGCTTGGTGCCGCCGTGGTAGCTGCCACTGGTCAGCCAGAAGAACTTGGCATGATTGAGGAAGAACTGGCCATCCCAAGCCAAAGGAACCAAACCAGCGGGGCGTTTGCCTACGAACAACCATGATTAGGCAGGCTGTCGAGACCTCCATGCAACGGATTGAATCGAGCGATTGATTCAATCATTCAAGCACCTCACCTCTCATTTTCACAATTCACCTAACGGTATGCACCTACACTCTCCTATTCAGCGCTCTTTTTTTGACGCAAACAAAAGAGCGCAAGAAAGGAAACCATTTTGCAATAGAAACGACAACCAAGATACATGGCGTCTAAGCACCACTACAGCTACTGCTACAATCATGAACAAACCAAAAAAGTCAACAGCTAGCGCTAGATAATGCAGCCTACTAATTTGTACATTTTTATGAGCCATACTAACAGGATTGAAATCATCCCCGAGAGTGGTGCGGTTTACTGGGAGATTACGAGGGCAGCGGTCTTGGTTGCTATCTGTTCGATACGAATACATGTACTGTACCACTGCTGTCAAGGGCATTTCATCATCGTCCACGTTGCCCCAAGGCCATGGCAACTGCCACCGTCATTGCGCCTACACCACATCCCAAGAGAAAGCTCCCTCCATCAACAACGTTCCCAGAATCACTGCTATCCTTGTTCTTACCGGCTGCGACGTTGATAGTTTGCTTCTTGACTGCTTTGCGAGCAGCAGCAGCAGATCGTTGTGGAATGACATCCAACACAATCTTGTCGGACAAGAGCGTGATTTCGGCGTTGGCCAGAATATCATCGGCGATTCCCAGCAGGAGCGCATAGATACTGGCATGCAATTGCGCCAGGAACTCTCGTCGGATAGAATAACGCTGGAAAAAGGATAATTCCGATGTATAACCGTCGTCGTGAATTCCCGCATGTCGTCGCGCCACTTCCCGGACCTTGTCCAAATCGATGCGGGTCAAGGAGGACGATAGCGACGACGAGCGTTTTCCTTCGTCATCATGCAACGGAGCCAAATCCATCAACAAGACATGCCCACAGACTTTCAAATGAAAGGAGGATGTCAGAATATCCAACAATCGAAAGACCAATCGGAGTGAATTGACATAGAGTGGTCGCTCCAAGGCATCCGGGAGTAATGTGGTGTTTACGGCGGCATTGGCCAACAACTGGTCCGCCACTTGTTCCAAGACGTGCTCGTCGACGGATGCTTCCACCTTCAAGTTGCTGCTGCCGATGGTTTGATTATGATTGGTGTTGTTCTTCCATTCCAATGTTGGCACGGGTGTTTCCGCGGCGGTTCGTTCCAAATGCAACACCACTTCGTGATCCAACAGAGCAAATCCGTGCAATTTGGACAGCAAGAAATAAAAGGTATTCAAGACCAACCGAACAGTCGATTTGTAAACGATGCGTTCGGCGACATCAGGGATACCGGCGACATTAATAGTGGGATCTTGCAAGACTTGGTCCACAAAGGCATCGACATCTTCTTCGCGGCATCCACCGGGCCACAGAGGATTGGTGTCATCGTTTTCTACCAACAGTCGAAGTAGTGGGGATGGTTCATCATCTTCTATAGCGTTGTCTGCCTGTTCACAACGACTGCTGCTGCGAGAATCTGCTGTAGTAGCTGCCAGAGCAGCAGCCGCCAACCCGCCAACTACGTGGATCCAGGGATGTTGTTGACCAAAAAAAGGATCGCCAGCATTAGTGGAGGGTTGTGCAACACTCACCAAGGAACGGACCGGTACGTTGCGATTACCGGTACTATTAATAGTATGCCGGCCAATCAGAGACCCACCAGAGGCTCTGCCGGAAGCCTTGGACGAGAGCAGATTCTTCAAGCTCATGGACCTGAACATTCTTGCTTTTTTATATAGAAGTGGTTGCAACCGACGGTGCACTCTACCGGCCTTTTCTAAAGACCAAGGTTAAAGGGGTCATTAAGCTTCCTGTAGCATTCACCTTAACCTTGAAAGGGCAACGGTCAAAGAAGATCTGCACCCCAAACGCTTCCGCAGGTTGTTGTTGTCAAGAGAACCAAGATGACGGATACCACCAAGGCAGAACCGCAAGAATCCACAACAGAGCCCAATAATAATAAGTATGATGGCTACTTTGCTTGTCACTGTGGCAAGATTCGAATTGACGTCGTGCAACCTGCGAGTTCCAATTGGGTGACACCCACAGCAGCCCTGTGCCAATGTAACGATTGCGTCCAGCATGCCAAAGCGGTATCCCGGTATCGCCAAGAGCATTGTTCGTCCGCAGCAGCTGCCGACGCCCTTACGGCTTCCAATGCTGTGGACATGAGACAAATATACAAGAGTGATGCCGTCAAACTGACGGGAACAGAATATTTGCAGGCCGTCAAACTGAAACAAGATTCTCCCGCGATTCGCTATCACAGCAACTGCTGTGGGACACCCTTGATGATGGATTATACCATGGCTCCATTTTTTCTGGTCTACCAGCATACCATTGCGAGTACACAAGACGACGACTCCTCGACCTTGCTGTTTCAACGAATGACTCCCACCGTGGTGCTCAATCATCAATACGCTCTTCCGAACAGTCCCCCTACGCCAGAAGGAATTCCCGTGCGGGACGGAGTTTCCTTGGGATTCATGTCCCATGCCATTGGGAGACTGGTGGTAGGTTTGCTAGCAGGCAAGAGCAAGAGTCCCATTGCGGCACAACTAGATACGGTGCCAGTGAGTATTGGAATCGATTCGATTTTTGGAAAGTCACCAGCAGCAAAAGGCGAAGATAACCAGTTATTGGAGGATTAAGATGCTACGCTGAAGGCAACTGCGAGGCTGGCATGCTGTCAAACACAAAGTCACTGTATTGATCATAGTAACATTATTTGCAACGTAACGTTTTTGTGTTGTTTTTTTAAATCTAGGTAGTTTGCTCTAGCTAGAGGAAATCGCACTGTATTTATGAATCATGAGGTTGAGCTAGTCAGCGAACAGCAAGAAGCTGGTTTTTGGATACAACTAATTCAGCTTCAGCCAGCCGCTGTATGGAAGAAAGGAATGGTGGAGGTAGGATGGTACTTCGCGAGCTTGTGAGTGTTGACAGCAGATTCACAAAAGAACACGGGCCTTGTAGACGTAGAAGAGCCCTTTTTGTGTTTTTGATAACTTGTATGGTACCGGTAGAGTTGCTTGGCATGTGGTTCATCCAGAAAAAAGGTAAATGGATTTGTCTTTTTGCAACGCCCATTGCTAGCTAGAGACTCCATTGTGTAGATTGTTGTATTTGTGCTTGAGACTCGACTCTTTGGCCATATCAAGCGGCCGGCGCAATGTTTAGACCATTCCCATTAAAGATCAGCACAGTCTTGTAGAAGAAGGTATAATCACTGTACGGAACAGTGGATGCTTGTTCCCGGCAGGCCATGGCCAATTCTCGGACCCAGTGCATGGCTTCCCTGGTCTGAGGGAAATTGTTGAGTTGGGCATGAATGTGTCCCACATTGTTACCAATCGCCAGCAGCAACAAGGAATGTCCCCGGATCTTGAAATCCTGCATAATATTCAGAATATCTTGATAGAGATCCAGAGCCTTTTGAAAATGGGACCGTCGGTTGCGTCGAATGGCATCGTCGTGGTAGGCAATGGCCATGTTGAACTTGAGAACAATCAGGTTGCTGCAGGGAGGGATGCGACATTGTTCGGGTCGAGACGACACGATTTGAAAGGCACGACGGTAAAACTCAAAGATGTTACTGCGACTGGCTTCATTGTGATCGGAAGGGGCAATGGGGACACTTTGGACACGAAGAGCTGCCATGTCGTCCACCTGAAAGATGGGTTGGCAATCATTAGACTGGCTGTTATAAAGGTGATGAGTGGGGTGGGAATTGTACCAGATCTTGGGGTCTTCCAACCGTTCCAAAGCTCGTTCCAAATCCCACACAGCAGAACGATAGTTGCCCTCTTGAAGATAAGAAATGGCTCGATTGTTGAGGTCAACAATGGAGGATCGAAGGTAGGCGTCAAAACGATAGGAGGCGTCATGTAGAGAAGCACTCATCATGGTTGATGTTGGTTGTTGCTTGTTGTGGGTAGCCTATAGCGACTGATTGCGGTCTCTCAGATATTATGAGACCAGTAGAAACAGAAGAAAGGTTGGGTCGTTCGATTTTTATTTGAATATATGATGACACCAGTAATGGGCGGTACCGGTAACGATCCTTATCCCCGCTGGTTTTGATCGGCAGTTCGGAAGTTGAGTGTGGTTGCATCGTTTATTCATGCATCGAGCATCGTGCAAAAATGTGGCCATGTGTCGAAAGCGGGGCGACAGTCTCGGAACATCCTATCATAGTAACCGGCATCGACAGCTCTACTGGCCGTTGGTGATGGCATGTGGCAATTCACGTGCTATGGCAATCTTTTTGCGCTATGTCAGAGCTGTGATGCCGGTGTTGGAAGTGGAGTCGAGTCGATACAGCGTACAGTGTCTTGATAAACACGTTGCGACCAAGGGCTTCAAATTGGCCAGGTCCGGTCTAAAAGAGATGGTACATGTTCTGGATGTTGTAGGCAGCTAGGTTTAGGGCGGCGAACTCAAGTTTCACTGCTGGCCGGCAGCTGCTTGCTTTCTGTTGACTTGCTGGCCATGCGGCCTTGCAGCACGCCATTCATAGCTCGATGACGTGGGTGCCACCCCTGAAGCACGACCTTTCTTGCTGCAAACGAGGATACTGCTACTGTAGCTATGCATAGCTAGAGTACGATACGTTGCGTCGCAAACGACCAGCGAAGCACGAACCTAGCTAGCCCAACCAGTCAAAGAGTTCTCTTTTGCCACGGTACTATCATCCCGGATTCTCGGTTTGCTTCCACGACTTCTTCGTAACACACACCAACAGTTGGCCAATTGCCCAAGAAGCTAGGCGCTCAAAAGTAACTAGAAGTTGCATTTACTATTTATCTTACTAGTGTTTATGCACCCATGTATTTTGCTCCTTTTCCGTCGCTAGCTGGCTCGGTCGGCTACTAGTACGTTGCTCCTGGCTGCCATTCCCCTCCTCTCCTCTTCTAAAAGTCAGGACAGCTGGCAAAGATCGCACCCTGTCTCTAGTTAGAGGAGTGCTGCCGGGGAGACCTTGACCCCAGATGACTTTTCTTTCTGTTGCTTCTCGAGTTCCTTCTCCAAAGCCCTTCTTCCTTTCTCGATCTTTTCTATCGTTTTGCTTGCCGGTGTTCCAATCAGCCTTAGTGATGGGGGCTTGGGTGGAAGTTTGCTGGCATCAGCAGCCTTCTTGGACTTCTTGGCGGAATCATTGCCCTTGGAAATGGTCTTGAGACTCTTTCGGAACGACCTTACTTTGGAACTGAGGTAGGATCCGGCTTCCGACATGTCATAGGAGGTCATCTCCGAGATGACTCTGTCAATGCCAACATCAGTAGGAGCAGCACCTCCCTCCGTCGTCGTTGGGGCCGATACAACGTGTGGGACTTCTTCTTTCTTCTCATCCTCGGTCTCATGGGCGACCTTTCTTGCTGTTTCAATGGCGGCATCGACAAACTTGAGATCTTCTTGCTCCTTCTCACGAAGCAGCTTCTTGAGTTCGGACTCTTGCGCTTTGTGCAGGCTCTGTTTGGATAACGTCTTGGACAATGCCTTAGACTTGTCGGCATCGGTAAGCAGTGACGGTGACTTGGCCACACTTGCCCCAAGGGAGCGTTCCTGATCCTCGGTAGCTTCGCTCGATTCGTCGCTGGCCATCAGCTCCACCTTCCTGATGCTATCAACCTTCATGAGTTCGTCAAAGTTGCGAAACGCCATGTCGGAAAGATCGGAACCTGCACCACAGATTGCATTCAGGTCCGCGAGTGATTTTTCCGATGATCGTTGATTCTTCTTCATTTGCGTGCGCATTTCTTCTGCGGTAGCTCCGAGATAGGTCAGCTTGGCAGACAATGCTTGCACCACCTTTCTCCTCAATTCTTCCTCTTCTGAACACAGGTTCCTCTCGTTTTCATCGTACCACATTTTGATCTTTCGGAGCTCTGCCACAATCAAGGCAAAGGAATCGCGCGTCTGGTCTTCACGAGACCGAATCAATTTCAAGGCAGTCTTGAGGTGATCGATGCGTTCGTTACGGTTGAGAAGGGAACTTCGAACGTTCCTCAATTGATCTTCCTGTATCTTGGCCGCTTTCTTTTCCCATGCACGTTGGTTGTAGTGGAGCACCGTCTGAATAATGGTACCACGATTCTTGTTGGGTCCCTCGGCAGCACATTCAGCGGGAGTGCGTCCCAGTTGATCACGGACGGCACATCCTTCGGGGAAGACACTCATAATGGTGGCAATCATCGCGTCGGGACATCCACGTCGGAACGCCAAGTGCAACGGTAGCATTCGATTCTCATCGGCACATCGCAACGTCGGTGGGGCGATCTTGACCATAATGGAGATGGTGCCTTCGGGTGCTCCATGCGTAATGGCGGCATGAATGGGCAAATGTGTCCATACCACCTTTCGTTTCTTAGTGGTCACTTGTAGATCATATTTGGTGACCCACGTACAAGCCTGCTCTCGGGGAGGCGTGCCGTCCGCAAAGAAACTACCACTCCAGTACCCTGTCAATAGATAATGGTTGACTCCCTTCCAGTTCTTGGCTTCAATCTGTTTGTACAAGTTGGTGGGGTTCTGATCGTAGTCGCACTCGGGAAAGCTGTACGCGTCTTCGGAGGGAACTGGGACGATTTCCTTTTCGTTTCGGTCAAACAGAGACCAGAACGAGCAGCCCCAAGTGGACTCCTGCAAGTTCTCGTCTTCCTGGGGCGCTGCTACGCGGTATGTCTCGAATTTTCTCATCTTGCTTTCTCTTGCCTTGCTCAGCCTCACAAGAATAGATGGATATGCCAGTACTGCAGCAATGATTGATTGTGGATTTGAGTTGTCCGTTTCCAACGAATGAGGGTGCAAAACGAACGGATCAGTTGACCATTTTGAAACATGGGCTGGCTCCATCATGAGTCGCTAAAACCTAATTACCATCCACCAATTTAGTGAAGATTGTCCGTTCATTATGGTTTGATACAACCTGGTGATGGTAATTAGAAATCTTCGCCCCGTCGAGGTGCTGCAACACACATCTCCTCACTTTTTGACGGTGTTCCGAGTGTCACTGACGTCACTGTGTTTGTCCCGTCAACGACCGCTGCAGTGATACCCGCATGGAGCCACCACACACAACAACGACAACAACACATCCATGCGTCTTGCTATACTATTTATCTCTGTTTTATTCAGTGGGTTATTCCACAACCATGGAACGCTTGCCCTGTCATCTTCCAATCTCGGCAAGAATGCGTTGTCGGGTGACTGGTCGGCCGCAAAACTGGCGCTTCGCGACCCTCACTGCTGTGTGGTTTCCGTGTCTGGGCTGGACCATCATTTGAAAGTGCTGCAAGATAATTTTGTCGACGACGGTCCATTCGACTTGGATCTTCGAACTCGCATACGAACCAGCGACCCATCGTTTCTTGGGAGAGATTGCCGCCAATTGAGACAGTCGGTATGCCAAAATAATCAACATGAACAGGATGATGATAATGCATGTGCTGCGGCTTTGGAGGAATTGGCCCTAGGTGTCGCCTCTCTGATCGATGACACCGATGGACCACCCTCCATGGATGTTCACATGAGAGTTGTCTGTGCCTCGGATTATCGCGCCAATGATCCCATGTTCCACACCGACAAGGCACCACTCCGTGGCTACGTGACGCTAAAGGGGGTAGGGACGCAATTCATGACCCGGACCTGTAGTCCCTGGGAATACATGACCTTGCGGACTTTCGGAATGCCAGGCGCAAACAGGGAGCCATGTCGGAGCGTACGAGACGCCCCGGAATTGGAATTCATCGTCATGAAGGGAGATTATTATCCTCAACAACAACAGCAAACAAATGATGCAGATCCGCAATCACCACTGTCATCCATGTTGTCTGGTAGTAAACTATGGCAACGAACCTTTGCTTGTGTGCATCGATCTCCTCCAGGTGCCACATTCGGCGGACGTCGTGTCATCATCTCGTTGGATTTGGCAGACGGTGATGATGATCGTGAATGGTATCAAGCCGGTAAAAAACGAGAATGGAGGAGTGGCATGACCCAACGAAAATCCCATTTGGTGGCTTGAGACTTTTGAAAACGATGGTGATGGAATTGATAACGACGCTAGGCAGCCGACCAGCGAGCTGCTAGTGCAAAGAGAACGACGCGACACCTATCCACGAAGGAGCCATGGTGATTTCAGCTTTACGTTTTAGCTTGGGAAACTGAATCGAATCTTGCTGTTTTATTTGGGAGTCATCCCATGTCCTTACCTGGGCTCTAGCAAGTAGGGATAGCTAGCAGCTTGTGGGACTGGTGCCTACCGGTATACCAAGTCAAAATACATAATGGAAGGATTCGTTGGAGATGCGACCGGACATGAGCTTCAAATCTGCTCGCCTGGTTTGCCTATAACTTCTTGTCCATGAAGCGTTGACTTCATTCATGAATGTGGCGGTGTAACGGGATGATGGAAATCCGCATCTGATGCACTGTTGTCTTTGTCATCCTCGTCCTGTAGATGGGTCAAGTCAAAGAAATCAAACTCTTTAGGTTCTTCAAGGAGGGAATCCCCCACGAACAGGCCACCAGATTTGATGCGTTTGGGTTGAATCTTGAGAATGTCATGGGATATTGGACGCTTTTTCATGCCCATGCGAGCAAACGTCCAAATATCCGGTTTTGGCAAGACACCTGCATGAATCAATCCCATGGCCGTGCAATAGTGAATTGTAATGGTTTGGAGGAACTGTCCTGAAGCGTATGTGAGGGCCATCGCAGGATGATGTGTCACTTGCTCAATACTTCCCTGCCCTGATCGCAGAATTTTATCTTCACCAATGCCAGCATCAACAGCGGCTACATCGATGGTGCTTGCTTGTATATCGCTTGGTGCTTGAAGGCCCACAGAAATGGCGTCGAAAACGTCCACCTGAATTTCACCCACTAACGCTTGTGAATACGGATCTAGGTTTTGGGTATCTCGTTTGGGCTGTCGGAAGCAGAGCGCTTGATTCACTCTGGTGCCATTCTCGACGGACACAATGCCACAATGCTGACGCCCATGCTTCAACTCACAAGGCTGCTGATAAGAAAGTCTTTTCCCGTCCACAACAAAACCAAAATCAAACGCTTTGTTCGGTATTCCAACCACTGCAATCTCTATAAAATACTCCATGTCGGGTTCCACCTCAGCATACACGTTTCCATCAGGTCCTCGGTGCTCCTTGAAGGGCTCCTTGGTCTCTGCGTTGACCAGACACGCTGAGACGTTCCCTACCACAACCATTGTTTGCACAAAAAACTGATAATAATGAGCAAGCAAAAAGGAATGACAAGATGCTGCTTGACAGCTTGACAGGTTGCCAACGACCAATGCGAGAGATTTTGGCGCGTTTTGTAAAGCCAGCGGCAGGCTGCTTAAAGAGAGAGCATATACTAGCTAGAGTACCCCCGGTCACGGGTAGCCCATCCTGCCAATGGGGGCGCTCTGTTTCGGCATCCTTGTTACCCAGCCCTGCCAAAACCGGTGGCAAGTCAACTAACCAACTATGTACCGTAGCTCTGTATGGTATTGGAACCTCAGGCCAAGGTGAAGGTTTGTTTTTCTTATTTTACAAATAGATGAACTGAAAGGTGACCACAAAAGCCTGTAGCCAAATAATAAAAATTAACACCAACAACTGGAGCATCCTCTACTAGCTAGTGGCTGACCTCTACGGTACAGTTGGGCATCCGCCTGGACCAGCTCCTTTGATCCTAATCCTACTGGTACACCCGGATAAGACCTGGAACATCTCCTTGTCCTTCATCTGGACCTGCATCAGACCCATCCGCAGATCACATGACCAAAACCTGTTACACTCTAAAACTTTACTAAAAACCACCCTCTGCAACCCTTCAAGGGCTCTTGGCTACTGTAGGTTACTTGCCAATGTATTGCACATGGTACTGTACATGTTTGTACCACTGCGATGTGATGAACGCACACACATTCCGAAACGAAGAGCTTCTAAGAAAACTATGGATCTTTCTTTCGAATAATTGTGTGGCTCAGATTCGTCATTCCCGCGGAAGCAAACCCACAGCTGCACTCACAGCAACAACAGCTGGCAACGCCCAAGCCACCACAACTCTCTCTGTCTCTCTGGAATACCGGTAGCATTGCCAAACATACACCCGGAGAGCTTGTACGGTAGACAGAAGCACCTCTGGCTGTGCATTTATCCCCACATTCCAAAGAAGAGGAAGAAGAAGAGCCAGGAAGAAAGAAAGAAAGAAAGAACCTTAACCATGGGTATCAAGGTTCGGTTTGACGGTCTGGACGTGATGGCCATGGTGAGTCATTTGAACCATGTGGCATTGGGCCGTCGAGTGATTAACATTTACGAAGGAGATACGAACGATTCCTTTCTCTTCAAGTTGGATCACACGGGTGCTGCAACTTCCACTAGCACAGGAGGAGAAGACGACAAGGAAAAGCTCATGTTGTACATGGAATCGGGCATTCGGTTTCACGGGACGCAACGTCAAAACAATGCCACAGTGGGCGGCGGCGGTCTCAACAAGCCATTGGCGCCCTTTGTCTTTCAATTGCGCAAACAATTGCGTGGATTGCGATTGGAACAAGTGACGCAATTGGGACAAGGAGATCGTGTGGTCCATTTCGTCTTTGGAATGGGAGCCCAACGTCGGGCGCTCTTGTTGGAACTCTACGCCAAGGGAAATCTCGTCCTCTGCGATGCCAATTACACCATTATGGCATTGTTGCGGTCACATCAGTATCAGACAAACAACAACAACAACAATACTGACAAGAGCAATGCTGCTGGAGCTGTTCAGGTACAAGTGGGGCAGGTATATCCCGTAACCTATGCCGCCAGAAATGTGGTTGTGACCAATGACGACAACAATAATGACACTAAACAAGCAGAAGAAGAACAAGATAAAGAATCCACAGAAGAAGATAAACAAGAAGAACAACCCCAAGGTCCATTATCTGTGACGGCATCATCCTCTGCAGAAGAATGGTCTGCCTGGGCCACAGAGCAAGTACAACACCAGCAAGCAACTATGCAACAACAGGCTGCTACTAACAGCAACAACAACAACAAAAAGAACAGCAAAAAAGACAAACAAGCGGGACAACACATCAATCTCAAAACATTGCTACTCAAACCATCCTGTGGAATCTCACATTATGGACCCAACTTTTTGGAACATTGCATCCTCAAGACTGCAGGCTGGAAACCGCATGTCCCTCTCCAAAATAATAATAGTGACGACAACAACGACAACAATCTACCTCCTATCGAAGAATGGCAACAATTCTTGCAAGTGCTGGCAGAGGAATCCGCCAAACTGGACGCCAATCCCAAAGCTACTACTACTTCGGCCGAACCGCCCAAGGGATACATTTTGTATTCTCACAAGAAAAAGAAATCCACCACCAAAAATGATGATTCCAATGACAATGACGACGACAATAAACAGGATGCCGCCATCACCCAGGCCAACACGATCGATGGCACATCCTTTTTTACCGACAAGGTACTGGAAGAATTCCAACCCTACCTACTCTTGCAACAACATCAAGGACGTCACGTACTTGAATTTGGTACTTTCAACGAAGCCGTCGATACGTTTTATGGACATTTGGAAGGACAAAAACGATTGCTCAAAGCCGAAGCGGCCGAACAGGCCGCCACCACCAAATTGGAAAAGATTCGACACGATCAACAAGTGCGATTGCAAGGATTGGAAGTCGAGCTGGCACGGGTCCAAGAACAAGCCCAAGTGGTGGAATGGAATGCCGACCGGGTGGAAGCGGCATTGACCGTCATCAATTCCGCATTGGACAGTGGAATGGATTGGGAACAATTGGAGCAGTTGATACAGGTAGAACAGAAAGAAAATCACAATCCAATTGCTCTACTAATTTACGAGTTGGATTTGGAACAGGATTCCATGGTGTTGGAATTGCCGACGGCAGACTGCAATGAAGAGGATGACGATAATGAGGAGGAAGAGGAGCAGCCGGCAGAAGAGGAGCAACACACCAACAACAAAAAGAAAAAGAAGGGCAAACAGCAACAGAATGGAAAGGGAGGAGCTGACGCACAGGCAGCCCGGAAGAAAAAGGTCAAGAAAAATCACGTTTTGGTCACTATTTCCCTCAAAGAATCGGCTCATGGCAATGCCAGCCAGTTGTTTGCCAAGTATCGGGCCATGAAGGAAAAGTCACAACGAACCGTAGAAGCATCCACCAAGGCATTAAAGGCGGCAGAAGAAACAGCACAACGACAACTGGCCGATGCCAAGCAAAAAACGCAACAAGCCACCAACACGACGGCACTCGGCAGCAATGTCAAGCCACCGTGGTTCACCAAATTCCATTGGTTCATCACCAGCGACAATTATCTCGTCTTGGGTGGTCGGGATGCTCATCAGAATGAAGTTCTCGTCAAAAAATACCTGCGACCCGGAGACGCGTACCTGCATGCCGACGTTCACGGAGCCGCGTCTTGCATCTTGCGAGCCAAGCGCATTCGAGGACCATCGAAAAAAGGCAGCAGCAAAAAGGCAACTCAGACGCTTCCTCTCTCAGAACAAGCATTACGAGAGGCTGGCAACTTTACCATTTGTCGATCCTCGGCATGGACGTCGAAAATGGTCACGTCGGCATGGTGGGTAGAGTCGCATCAGGTTAGCAAAACAGCACCCACGGGAGAATACCTAAAGGTCGGAGCCTTTATGATTCGAGGGAAAAAGAACTTTCTTCCACCGACACAGTTGGAAATGGGCATCGGTGTCATGTTTCGTCTAGCGACTCCGGAAGGGACACTGGACCCAGCAACATACGCACGGCACAAGAACGAACGTCGCGACTTTGCCCTCATGGAGATTTTGGAGTTACAGCAAGAGGATGACGACGATGACGACCACGACGATGATGTTGCCCCAGTAGCACGCGGCAACAATAGCCGAGATGAGAAGGTTGCTGCAGAGGAGGAGGAGGCGAACACCGAAAAAGCTGCCACTGATGAAGCTGAAAAACAGGGGCCCACGACTGAAGAAATGCCTGCCTCTGCGAGCAATCTATCAACAGATGAGGCCACCGGTGAAGAGAACGGAACCAAGTCTTCGCAGGAGCAGCAGAATGATGACAAGGAGGCCTCTGCGTCGCCGAAGAACTCTGCTAGTGAAAAGGAGTCAAATCCAGCTTCGGAACCATCACCGGCACCGTCGACAGAAAAGAAAAAGAAGAAGGGGCTCTCTGTGAAAGAACGAAAGCTGATCAAGAAGTATGGATCACTCGAGGAAGCTGAAAGAGTCTTGGCTGAACGAGAGAAGAAGGAACAGGAAGACAACGAGAAAGCGAAGCTGTTAGTGCCCGCTGATTCTGCCGAGGAAGAAGAGGACGAGCCTGACGACGCCAACAACAACCAAGGGAGCATGAAACGGGGGAAAAGGGGCAAGAAGAAGAAAGCGGCCAGGAAGTATGCAGACCAGGATGACGAAGACCGAGAACTTGCGATGTTGGCCTTGCAGGGAGGAGAGAAGGTCAAAAAAGCGAACAAAGACAAACGAAACGTTGGCCCTGCTTCGGAGGAACAAAAGCAGGCTGCTGCAGAAACCACCGCTCTGTTGGTAAAAGATGCCGCAGAATTCGCGGAGAAACTGCCAGAGGACATTCGGTCGGTGCTTGCGGATTGCGTAACTGTACAAAACAAGGGAGACGAAGAAGTTGTTGTGAGGTGGGATAAGTTTGACGCAGACGTTCTGGATCAACTCATCTCTTTTGAAGGGCCACATGAAGCCAAGCTGAAGGCATCCAAACGACTCTTGTTTCTCAAAAGTACTAGTCGAGTGGACAACTTCTCGGCAAGTCTCGCTGGTATCCTTCGTACAATCAAAAAGTATGGGTATGAGAATCTCGAGACCGACTTGGACACGAAGGCCAATGGCAAGGGCTCTGACGGGGCTAAGCGAAAGACAAAAGAGGAGAAGAAAGCAGAAAGTGCCGAATGGAAGGAAACACTTGCAGAAGAGGGTGTTGTAGCGGAAGACGGAGAAGAGGACGAAGATGCGGACATTGACGATACCGCAGAGAACAACAAACTCACCGGAAAGCCCCATCCAGAGGATGCCCTTGTGTACGCCTTGCCAGTCTGCGCACCATATCAGACTCTTTCACAATACACATACCGTATCAAACTCACTCCGGGCAACATGAAGCGAGGGAAAGCAGGCAAGCAATGTGTTGACATGTTCTTGAAAGGGGACATTGGAGGAATTGCCGGTAAGAACACGCCGTCAGCGATTGCTGAGGTTTGCAAAGACCTGATCAAGAAGGTTGGCGACAACGACTGGATCCAAAGTCTTTGTCCAGATGTCAAGATCTCTTCCGCTGGAGCCAGTAAGGCTACAAAGAAGCAAAAGGCTAATAACAAAGCCAAGGCTAGGAAGAAAAAATAAGCTAAGCTATCCCACACCATCATTTGCTATCGTAAGGATTGAATGAATTTTGACCCCTGACCCATAGTTAAGGTCCTCACGAACATCGGAGACAAGGACGAATCAGCTTCAGTTGGGGTGCTCGTCATCCGACGCAAAGGGACAACCAGAAAGAGCACTCCACATGTCGCAGTTTTCATCGCATTTTGTCTTGACTCCACCGCTTCGTGATTTGTCTTTGCCCGAATCCGTCAGCTGAACTTCGATCGACTGGCTCGCATCGCTATTATGATGAACTTCGATCGCAGTACCATCCCGAGCCCCGCATCGGTCCTTTTCGTGCTGCTTCAACACACTGCGAATCGATGGACTTGAAAGATTGGTTTTGTCATTGAGGGGGCCTGGAGACGACGATGGGCTAGACGGAGGGTTTCTGTCCTCCACATTCTCAATGGGTACGATCCTATCTACCTTGACGAACGTGGGCAGTTCGTCAGGCGACTTCCATTGCAAACAATGAGCAATATCTGCTTGGGGTTGAGAAGTGGGGGCTGCCTCATGAACCACGAAAATCTCGTCCTTCGAGTTTTCGTTTCCGTCGTCAGTGCTCCCGCCAACAGTGAACATGCCCAAGACGTTGCCTATGATTTGTTGAGGGAATTCATTGGTGATGCCGCTGAAGGCGTTTCCCAAAGACATCTCCTGGTCGGCTGTGTCTCTGTCGTCCGCCGTCTTTGGTGCCTCGCTGGTCTCACCATCAGTGAAGCTTTTGATGCCGTCCTCTTCTTCGACAGCTTCATCACCAACAATCAAATCGACACCCTCGCCCTCGCCAAGCAGGATACTTTCTTCGCCCATGGATGACGCTGTCACAACAATGTCGTCGATCTCTTGGCTCCACAGAGTTGTCTCGACGTACTGCTCATCAGACAACGGTTCCTGAGAAAGGCACAGAACGTGATCTTCAAGCTCCGCCGAGTCGGCACCCATCTCCTCCTCCTCTTCTGCTTGCTGCTCGTTCAACCTCTCCAGTTGTGAGATGCTTCGGGCGAGCTCATATGCCCTCATTGCTTCGCGGGTATCATGCTGCTCCTTTCCAGTGGTGCATTGGACCTGCTTCTCCAGTCGCTCCAATTCGGATTCATAGTCCACAATCTGCGTAGCAAACAGTTGATTCTCAAGACGAAGCTGTTCTAGCAAGTCCTTATCCGCCGAGTTTCGATGGGGTGGAGACGATTTCTTTTTGGAAGGCTTGTGTCGCTTCTCTTCGCGAGTCAGGATGTCAACCTCATGTTTCAGGATTCGAATGGTCTCGCGATGCTCAGTGTCATGCTCCAAGAGCATGTCTCGCTCCTTCTTGACTGAATCGAGTTCTTTGCTCGTCGATTCCAGTTGGTCTTGGTAGCGCTTGATATCCACGAGACTGCGCAGCTTGTCATTGCGGAGAGTGTCCAAAGCACCCTTGAGCTGCAATATCTTGTTCGAGTCATCACTGAGGATTTCCTTGAGAGTGATGCATTCCTTCTCGAGACTCTTGGCCCTTGGCTTCCAGTAGAGTTCTGCAGTCAGTTTGGGTTGGTTGGCACCACCACCAGACCTTCTGTATCGTTGTCGTTCTTCCATGCTCATTGGGTAGTCTGCATGTAGCTTTCTGGTGGGAGGTGCCATGGCAGGTTCGACATGGAATTGGGATTCGGTCGGCTCTACTGAAACCTTTGCTTTGGACTTTGATTCCTTTGAGAACAAGGCAAACACCTCCGCCAGTTGCCTTGGTGAAATGCCAAGGGCTCCATGGCAGGCTCGATGAACTGGGACGTCCTCCGGATCTTCCACAATGGTTTCAGGGTCCGTAATGTCGGGAGGAGAAATGTCCGCACTGCCCGCATCTTCCCAATGTCTCCCACTGGGGCTCTTCAGTGTTTTCATGGAAGCGAGTGAGTGTAGACTGTCGGTATCCATGGCTTCGAATACGTTCGGGTCAAATGAGAGATCAAAAGTCTCCGAGGACAAAATGCCCGAGCTACAGGTTGACACCTTGTCGTGGAGTTGAATGTCGTCCTCCTCTTGTTGGACTTGGATCTCATCTTCGTCGTCATCGAGAATGGCCCGCCAAGACGAGTTTCTGGACAGTGACGACTTGTAGGTAGCGGCAGCCGAAGATGCGGGCGACCTCAACTCGTCCTCCATCATCCGCAAACTGTCGCCGCCGTCGGTGGATGCATGAGACGATGCTGCCAATGACGGTACCGATTCGGGCGACGATGTTACCCCCATGGTTGGTTGCTTTGTTGTTTGGTGCAACGTAAAGTGATGGTCTCCTTCGCCAGTCAGTCAGTCAAAAGTGAACGTTAGTGCGGCCCCTTGATGTGCAATAGCCGATGCATCTGACTGAGAACTTTCGACAACGCGAGCTGCTTGTCACAAAGAGACGACCAACTACATTTTGGAAAATTGCTTTCGTAGAATGAATGAAAGGAGTTTTCCATAATACCGTTGTGGATTCGTAAGGCAGTAGTGTGTGACTAGAGTGCGATTGAGTATGAAGTCGTGAGAGCCTGCACGACGATGTATCATGTGGGACCAATGACACTCAACGTTCCGCTCTGGTGGTTCCTCATGATCATCATCGCACCTATCCTTCGCACCTTAGCCAATGGTTGGCAAGGGCAGCGGAAAACTAGCTAGTTTATCTAGCAGCCTCATCCTTGGCTTGTTCTACCAAGGACCGTTGCCAATTCATGAGCTCTTTCTTATAGCTATCTGTACCAGTATCCAGTATCCCACCGGCATACTTCATGTTGACACATGTTGCATATTCCATGCAACGCCTGGCTCGATATCCAACCCGCCCAAAGATTCGGAGAAATTTGGCTAGGTGTGGGATGACGTCCCAACCCTACATGCCTTGCAATGGATGGAACCTCTAGCAACACCACCATGACTACGTACCCCGAACAGCACAACGATCCTACATGTAGTGATAGTATAAACAATCTATTAAATAATACTGTTCTTACAAAAAAAAGTGAGTATGTTCCCCTGATTCTATTGTTGTTTTCGCGTGACGGAAACGGGCGATTGTCGATGTTTGGAGGGACTGGACCTAGTTTGATACTCTCGTTCCAAGTCTGTCTCTTCACAGGCATCGAGTACTTGATCGTCATTCTTGACCAAATTGCACAAGAGCATGGAGAGTGTGGATTGAATGACGGCCACGTCTTCGACCTGACATCCCGACACTTTTTCGAGGGTTCGTACAAACTTGGCTTGTGCTTTTGGGGACAGCAGTGAAACGTCCATGCCTTCCATGGCATTCAAGAGTGCCGCCAATCCAATTTCCGACGGATGGATATCCACCAACGAGTGTTCCGAAATGGCCAATTCCGTTTGGTAGCGGGCATAATCCATCATGGCTTCCGCCACGGCGGGATGTACCGTGTCTGGTAGCAATGCCAAGTAGTGTTGAATAAACCCCAACGCCGTGGGTCCACCGACCCTCCATTTGAGCGCCTGCAATAACTCTTCTTCCTTGTGGACAAATTCCATTTCTTCATAACATCCGCGCGACAAGTCGGCCAATAGGGCCGTTTCCATTTCCAAAGGTTCGTGAATTTTAATGGCAATGTAGAGTGCCGTCATGGCCGTTAATTGGTATTCCTTGCGATTGGCCAACGCCGAACGACCGGGACGCGAGCACAAGTAGCGATCCAAATACGACATGCCAATCGAGACTGTCTCGCGACGAAATTTACAAAAGTCCACCACCTAATCGAATGATGGCAGTAGTAGAATCAGATGAGATACACCTCTTTCTCATCATTGCTTCTGTTTGATAATGACATACCTGATAACACCACTCGCACATTTTGACGCGGCAATCTTCATCAATGGGTTTGTTGACGCGCTTGAGCAGTTCGCCGTGTTTCTTGAGATAATCAAAGACTCGATACGTTCCACTCTCTTGTTGTCGCATTACCTTTAGCCGATCTGTCACTTCGATGGGATCCACCAGCGTCAACAGCGCATCTTCCAAGGGCGTCGGGGTCAACACCAGGGCCGGCATGGTTCACAAATACTCCTCTGCCTGCAAATTAGTGAATAGATTGCTCAATCTTTCTTTGGAGAAAGGGAGGGAAAATGAATGAATGAAGGGCGTTGAATGGATCCTTGTCGGGTTTTCCAGAGAAAGAGAGATCCGTTCGGAGGCGCCAACTTCTGTACCGTGGAAACTTCTAACACATGCAACAGGATACCCAAACACTCCCAAATCAAACAGAAAGAATGAGATTCCAAACAGATCTTTCGTTCTCTAGAAACTTCTGGCGCCTTGCAGACGACTAGCTGGTGGTACCGTCCGTTGGTCCTGTCTTTGATCAATCTTCAAGCCTTGTCACTATGAATGCATGTTAGCTCGTTGATTGGGTTGGTTACGTTGTGGGAATACATTGGTTGGTGGACCATAACTGAGATATGGTTAGTCACATGTAGTCGATGGTTTATATTTATATTAATGACGTATATATATATTTAATGGCTATCCTAAGAGCGGTACGCACGACTGAATAATAGGGTAAATACTGAGAGTGGTAAAGCATACACCACCGGAGGTGCGTAGAGTACTTAGGCGCACACTGTCCGACTGAACCTTTTGAGAGATCGCACACAGACCCGAATGATACTTTTGAGAGATCGCCGACGAAAATACAGCGATGGATTTCGCTAGTTCAAGCGAAAGAAGAAACGAAAGAGTTGACTTCACGACCACAATGACGACCACATTGACAGAGCAAGTGCAACGGCAAATTCATTTGAAGCCACCTCCCTATCAACCTAATACGTCAAGGAAGTTGTTGATGAGTTGCCGCCTGGACTACTTGCATCCTTGTTGTCATCTTCTTCCTCCGAATCTTGACTGCAATGCTGGAGTTCTTTGCTTTCTTCAGCTTCTGATTCAGATTCGGAGGACTCTTCCTCCTTTGTCAACTGGAGACGGCGTCGGACAGTTTTCTTCGAATTCTTCTGCTTCGCGGCCCTGGTTGGTGGACTATCACGAGAACTCAAACTGGAAAGTGACTCGGGAGAACCGTCAGTATTGTCCTCGGTGCTGTCATCACTGCTGTTATCGGTGGTTTCGTCGGTGGAACTGCCACTGGCAGATGTTTTCTTCTTTGCAGCTGGCTTCCGGTCACTGTCTTCACTGGATGATGAATGGATCTCCAAAGCTGTTTTTGACGTGGATCCCGGCTTTGGTTTGGACGCAGCTCCTTGCTTTGGTACCACCGGCTTTGCTACTGCCTTTGGTGGCTCCTCGACATCGCCTGAGTCCGTGATGACCAGGGCAGTTTCGGCAGTGCGTCCACTGTCATCTGTGTCTGGTGCCCGCTTTCGACTGGCATGAACACTGCACTTTGGCGTCGAAGATAGGTTGAGACTTTCTTCCGTTCCACCCATTCCGAATTCCATGCTGTACTTTCCAGTGCGGATGGTCAGTGGAATGTAGGCCTGATTTGGGAGCAGACCGCCGTTTCCATCACCACGAATCTCCGGCTGACTTTTGTTGTTGGTGTTGTTGTTGGCAGAAGTTCCACGACTTCCATTTCGCTGCTTTCCGCGGATACCACCTCCATCGCGATCCGGTCCATGGTTGTTGTCATTGTCATCATCATCCGAATCATTGTCGTTGTCGGGATCCTGAATTGGATCGTGAATGTTATCCACCTCAGCTCTTTCGCGTCGACGGCACATCCAGCCACTGAAAGGATGGGCCTCTTTGAAGAAAGTCAATCGTTGGGCATACTCATCATGATTCCACTTGAAAGCGTCGGCGACTTTATTGAAGAACCCCCATTCCATGGAGATGGCGTAGTGCAACATTTGGAGCATCTCGATGAATTTGTCTGGATGGAAGTACAATCCCATCATTGCAAAGTTATCTCTAGGACGGGGAAATGGGTATCCACTCTGCGCAATCCAAAAGATTGGTTGTTTGAGAAGGTGATCCTCAAACTTCCAAGCTATTTCAAGTCCACTGTCCAAGTATGATTGATTGCATCCGTGGTAGTATCGCTGGACCACATCGATGAGGAACACTTTAGACACCTTGAGGTTGTCGATGGTGACGTAGCAGCGTTCAGACAGTGTGAGAGTTGTGGCACCCAGACGAACAAAGTCTTCCAGTGGGAATTCATCTTCCTCGTCATCATTGCTATTCTTGGCAGGTGATGGGTGGGCAGGCATAATTCCTGGCGAAGGAACACCAGCAGGCGGTGCCGGATTGTCGTCAACCATACCGGCAACTGGTTGTCTTGGAGGAGTTCCAGGGGGAGAATTCGGATTCTCTGCGGCGTAGATGGCTGGTACGTGGTAGTACACCGAACCAGAATCCAACAGCTTCGAGCCGGGACGAATTGAGTTAATGGTGGAACGACGCTTCTTTGCAATGGCCGTGTTCGGCGAATCCTTTTGGGGTGGAACGTACCCATCATTAGATGGGGAATGAGGGTGGAAAGGATCAAATCGAAGACGATCGGAAGACGAGGCGTAAGGTGGAGGCTTCCGACTCGACTGGGCAGGTTCGTTCTGGATATCGTCCCCGACATCAACATCATCAACAGACTCATACTGGGAATATCCACTCGGATACTGCGAACGAGGGGCCTTCCCACTTGTTTGCATGCGCGCCAACGGTTTCGGTTTGCTTGAAGCATCTTTACTCTTTTCCTTCTTGGCATACGGGTTCACGTAAGCCTTCCGGGCCGGAGGTTTTTTGTCATTGTCATCATCGCTGGAGGCCATATCGCAATGCTTTCTTTGTCCTTTTCGGTTTCGAATTGCAGGAAGCTTGAATAATGACTGATTGTGGAGGTGTCCGGCAGGTCGCTCTTCATGGAAACGGAACGACGTTATCGGTTGAGGCCGTGTTCTGAATTGTGTATGAAGAACTTGCCATGGACATCCCCTTGTTAAGCCAAAAGATCATTACGTTTTCTGTGGTGAAAGCAGGAACAAGTCGGTTCATGTCGGTTGGAAATGGTAAGTGACAAATCAACAGAGCCTGTCCTACTGGACCATGCGAACGATGTCTAAGTACTCTTGTTGCGATGGTTCTACAATGCTATTATAGGATTCTTTTTGGTTCCGGGAAGTCTTCGGATGGTTCCGAGAAGTGTTTAAGTATCGCTACGCACCAACAATAGACATTCCGCAGAATGCAAGCAATCCACCACCACATCTTTCGTATGGAGTAATACCATCCGGTGCGAAAGATCGTCTTCGAAGACAAACAGCAACAACCAACTGACTCAAAGCGTCTTCTGTTTTTTGGTACTTGCTTTGGAAAAACTCGCTTTTCGCTGTTCATGTTGACCGTCCCTATACAATGCACACTCCTTTTGAAACAAGAGAAGCTCCTTAAGGCAAATGGTGTCTTCTGCACTCTTGGAAGTAAATCCGGTGGAACGAAGGAATCTCCTCTGTTCGTCTGACACTGTCAATCCAAGGTAGTTTACAGCGGCGATCTTGTGCTGGGTCGAAAGTGACTCAAGGAATTCTTCATTCGTTGTAAGCATCTTGGGTGTTGCTCTGGCTACTCTCCCATCCTTAAGAAGTCCGCCCTCATACATTCCATCTCTTCTTCCTCTTGCTTGTGCCTTGAAACCAGTTCGTCTTGTGTTGCTTCTAACTTTTCTCATGTCTTCTAAGGAAACATCGAAATGTCCCAAGCGACTACGTACAAAGGCCGCAGCTGGACAGTTGTACCCAAGTCGCTTTCGGCAGTCTTCACAGTCACCAGTCACCATTCCATCTTCGGCACAGAAGGTGAGAACACAACAATTGCGACTCACAGCAATCATCTTTTGTGCAGTGATGTCCATCGTCTGACCTTCCGTGGAATATAGGTCTTCGAATGGTTCCTCGTCACCATTCAGGGATGACTGGATTTTCATAATTCTTTCCTTCGATAGGGGAACACCAATCTTGTATCCCAAATTGCATATCCAGGCATTCGGACGTCCTGTGCGATTAACATCGATTGGAACAACATCGCGATGTAATTGCAGGAATGAACTGACAATCAGGCAAAGACGAGAGCAAGTTCGTGGAATTACGATGGTGCACGGATCGCATCGGTTTATGGAATCATTCTTGAGCAGACTTGGGTATGTGTCCACAAGGAGCCTCGGCAAAGATACATTCAAGGCGATGGGTGCGTTTTTCCCTTTCATGTTATGGTGGTGGTGGCTTTCATTGCTGTTACTTACAGTCATAACCCCTGCATATCCTGGATGGCTGTAATTGAAGTTGAAATATGGACCCACTCCATACATTTTCAGGAAATGAAGTGCGGCTGAGGTCTCCCCTCGCTCTTCCATCCAATTTCGCATGATTAACTCTGTCACTTTGACCTTTTGTTGGATTGTCTTGCAATGGTGGATCATTCGAATGTGTTGATGTGCAAGAGAATGTTCCTTATTGCTTCCTTTGGCAAAGATTTTGTCACGGATTTTCTTTACATACCCATCGTTCTTCGCAAAGTGTTGGGTGATGTGGAAGTAACAAGGGGTGGCTCCCTTGCTGTTGGCGGGATCAAGACATGAACGTCTCCAGCTGTCCCAATCGAACAACGGGCTGTTATTTGAGGCCGCGACATTCGGTTTAATATCAGATGAGTTCGCCGACAGAGGCAAACTTGAAGAGAAGTCAGGAATTATCGCCTTGTTTTGAGATGGACACGTTCTTTCGACAACACTACAATCAACCAATGCAGACGTTTTCGGAATAGGCTCTTGGAGGGGGTCTTCATCACATACGCAAGGATATCGATTGAAGAACCTGTGTGCTTTGATGAAAGCATCCGCGCGATCCGATGTGCCCCAATCGATGACTAACCTGCACTCAAACAGTTGCCAACAGAGATCACGGAGGACATAAAGGGCCAAACAGTAGGGGTAATATCTCTCTGCCCCAACGTGTAAGTAACAAATTGGTCTGAGCGAAGCGGTAACTTGATTCTGCGTTTCTCTTTCCTTAACAGAAAGTGAACCAATCGTTACCATGGTGCTCAAGTCAAGACAAGTTCCACCAGTTCCATCCGCACAAATTTGTCTTGTACCGGGACGTCGAGTCGAAAGGTGCATCAACATATACAGAGCAGTGGGAGATGTTACCAGAAAGGATTGTTCCATCTTATCCGTAAAGTCGGCCCTCTTGTTTGGTGAATCCAAGCACATCGCATGCTTGAATCGATTGTGCATTCTTCCATACGTCAGGTCCACGACAATCATCTCGTCTACGGACAAACCCAATGAAGACGCAAGTGCATCTGCTGATTCATGAAGCTTGGGGACGTACCCGGTAGGAATCGACAAACGCCAGTTGAGCAGTGCACGGTAAAGGTTGTATGCATTCACTATGTCTTTGTTGGTGCCCAAGCTCTGTTCAATGAACTTCACTTTTCTGTAGTTCATGTAGTTACGTAACTGCCTCTTCAGGTGCTCTCGATACTCTGGTTGAAGCAGATACGTGTGACGTTTGAGTGGATGAGTGTGACCTTCACACCGTACTGCACGTTCCAATGCTTCAGTGATGGCTCTCAGCATTTCTTCTGCCGCTATTTTCAACACAGACCGGTTCCTTGCTGAAGCTTCGAATGTGAGCATTTCGTTGATGAACGCGACTATACAGTTCGCCAAGCCGTGTTGGTCAGTTGGAGACATTGGTTTACTGCAAACATCATGGCTGTGGATCAAGAATCCTTTGGTGTAAACCTTGAACTGGGATGCCGTCGTATCAATATTATAACACCGAATCTGGCATCTCCATTTGCACTTCGACACAAGACCTGTTGCCTTATCTGTCGCGTTTGCAATGCAATGAAACTTGTACTTTTTCATTCCAGTCTTTGTTCGTTCTGTTCCATCGGCTTTGAGACAATATTGTCCATTGTAATAGCCACCAAAATGGGTTTCCACCTGTGCTAAAGCGTCTTCAATAGTGCTGCAAGGATGGCATCTTGGTTCTTCCAAGAAATCGCTATAACGCGATGGTCTCGCATTGCTACCAGTGAAAGGCTCCACCACAATTCGGGGCGGCTTGTTGGCATTTGTCCAATAAACACTTCTTGGATACATCCCACCTTCAATGCCGTGCTTCGACATCTTTTCCTATCAAGTCCTTCCCGATATCCAAACAGTGCAGAGGACACAGGGGTGAACACAAGAAGACGTAAATTAAGATCTATTTCATCTATTTTATTGGAGGTCATGCCGTTTATTAGGAACTCCATCTGTGTGGAGTTTCTAAAAGGGAGGAGTGTCAAAATATCAAAACTCCATCATCACCTTGGATCGTTCTCCTCTCTCAAGACATCCCTCCGCCAATTCAGCCTCCTTTTCCGCCAATTTGAACCTGTCAACAGAAAATTTCGTCACCTTTCGCGGCAAGCACCACTCCGACAAACAGATCTTTCCTGGAAGCTTCTCCATTATCAGTAAAAAAAAATAGATAACATGACCATGGCGGAAAACAACAAGCATCTGCTATACCGTAATCATTTGCAGTTGATCCACCTTCATTATCTTCCAAAGCTACTATACACTGCCACAACTGAATCATTGTAAGAAACAGATTACGTCCTTCATCAATACGTACCATTTCGTCGACTTTTTTGCTTTTTCAGATGCCCTTGTCTACGCT